TCCATCAGTGCCTGTAGCGTGTCTTCATTATGTGTGACAAGCGCTGCATCATCTGCGAATAGGAGTTCTCTAATGAGGACTTTCTTGACCTTAGTTTTAGCCTTGAGTCGTGTTAGGTTGTAAAGAGAACCATCTCACCTTCTGTGGAGAAATACATCACTGTGTGAGTTTAGAAATGCACAATTTAATAGGACTGAGAAAAATATACCAAAGAGGGTAGGAGCAAGGACACATCCCTGTTTGACTCCACTCTTCACCACAAAGGGTTCAGATGTAGATCTATCTTGGTTATACAAAACATTTAAACTTTAGAAAGCTAAAGAAATTCACAGACAAAACAGCTTTTATACTGCCTGGTTATAATTTAACACCATTACATGACAATAACATTATTTGAAGCAATTATAAAAATAAAATATATGATTGTAAGCATAGAAATTCAAAGGTCAGGATAAGGACACATCCTTAAATCTAATTCTGTCAGTACCACTCCTTTCCCTATTCATCAGCAATCGCTTTCCACAGCCAGTGACCTCTTCCTTATATCCAATACAGACCATAAGTTATTAGCTATCTATCTATCTATCCTCACCCACCCCATCTATCTATCTATGTGGGGATAGATAGATTGGGTGTGTGTGTTAGGGGATAAATAGATAGATAACCCCTCCATCTATCTATCTATCTATCTTTTAGAACCATGGTCCCCAACCTGGTGCCCGCAGGTGCCATGGCGCCCGCCGGGCCCTTTACGTGCGCCCGCGGAGCAATCTGGGCTGGCCCCGCCCCCGGGTGTGTGGCAGGCGCCAGCCCCGGGCGCATGGCCGGCCCTGCCTCATGGTGCACGGCACAGGTGTGGCGCCGGCCCCGAGCACGCAGCACATGGGCACTGGCAGCCCTGCCCCCGGGCGTGAGGCACATGGGATGTTCCAGACCCAGGCGTGCGGCGTATGGGCAGGCCCCAGCCCTGGGGGCCTTGGCCCCGCCCCCGGGTGCACCGCGTGTGCCCTTGCCAGCCCTGGCCTTGGCCCCGCCCCCGGGTGCGCCGTGTGTGCCCTTGCTGGCCCTGGCCTTGGCCCTGCCCCCGTATGCGCAGCGCGTGAGCGGCCTCGCCCCCAGGTGCCCGGCAGCCCCAAAAGGTTGGGGACCACTGTTTTAGAAGCATCTGTCTGTGAGTCCATCTGTGAGGCTATTTGTCCATGAATTCCTCTTAAACTATAACAGCTAGGGCCACTAAATTTGGGATGTAGCTTCCACTTACCCTAACTTAAAGCAAGGTCAGGGGTTGGGTGTGGTAGGCAAACAGGATGTGCCTGGAATTTGATTGTTTTCCATAACATGGAAAGGGAGGGAGCTGATCAGAAGGATGCAATACTGCACAGTCACCACCACGGGCAGTGAGCATACAGGACAGCTATCCAATACAGTGACCACTGGGGGCAGCCGCACAAGGAAGGGAGTAGCCTGCTGGGGATGGGGCTTGCCATTTTGCTGGCCAAGATAAGTGGCCCCTGTCCCAAACCCTTCCCTCTGGTCCTCGGCCCCAGCACCCGACTGGGGAATGGCCCTGCTGACCCCATTGCCATGGCCCCCCGGGCAGCGCAGCTGCACCCCTCCATACCCCGCAGAATCCACAGGCAGTTTCCCTGCACCAACATCACTGGATTGCCCAGCGTGGCCACAATGGGAGCTGGCCCAGGGAGCACCATCAGGGCTGGCCTGTGTGACCTCCCGCCCCTGCTCCCTGAGCTGGGTCAGGGACACTGCGGGGGCTGGTCTACGTACGTCCGCCCCGGGCAGCGCAGCTGCACCCCTCCATACCCCGCAGAATCCACAGGCAGTTTCCCTGCACCAACATCACTGGATTGCCCAGCGTGGCCACAATGGGAGCTGGCCCAGGGAGCACCATCAGGGCTGGCCTGTGTGACCTCCCGCCCCTGCTCCCTGAGCTGGGTCAGGGACACTGCGGGGGCTGGTCTACGTACGTCCGGTCCCCGGCCCAGAAAGTGCCAGCAGGTCTTCAGCACCCCCCCCCACTTCAATCTCACCCTGCCTCAGGCCGGGCCTGGGGATAGTCAGCCTG